CCGCAGGCCGGTCTGCTGCACTTGCTTGTGCCTCCGGACAGGCGACTCCGGGCCATCACGACCCCTCTGATCCCCAGGAGGAGCCCGGCACCTCCGCGCGCCCCCGTCCGCAGTCTGGGATCAGACACGTGCAGTGCGTTTTCCGCCAGCCACGTTGGCGCGGCAGCGCGCAGACCTCAGGGGGCGGCTCCTCCTCCCTTGGCCACGTGCCTCCACTTACTCACCTGACCCCAGCGCGGCCGCTGCGGGAGACAGAACGATGCAGCCTTCGGGAAGCACTTTGAACCCATACGGACACGCTCAGCTTCATCTCTACCTTCTAAGCAGGTTATCTTGTCTACTGAATATGGTTTCACACCTGCTGACTCTTCACTCTTTCTTAGCTTGGTGTTATCTTTCCCCTTAGCCTCTGTTCACTCTGGATGTCTCTTCAGTGTCTCCCATTTCCCTGCCTTGACACTTTTACCCTGTTGTTCAGACTTGAAACCTCACTTCACCCTCATCTTCCATAGAGGCAAAACTGGCTTTTTAACATCTTAGCTCAAATGTCATCTCAGAAAGGGCTTCTCTGATCGTCGAATCTAAAATGGCTACCAAGTGGTCGTTGTTGTTGAGTACCATCTAGTCGGAACCAACCCGTAGCTGACCCTCTGGCGTGTTTTCAGAGGCAGTTAATCACGCAGGAGGAGATTGCCCATCCCTCTCCCGCTGAGCAGCTGGCAGAATCGTACTGGTGTCTTAGGGATAGCAGTGCAGTTTCTTACCATTATGCCACCAGACTCCCTAAATGGCCATTATCACTTTAATTTTTTGCCAGACACTTGTTTTCCATTTGTTTACTGTCCCTGCCCAACGCGGATGCTTACTTCAGAGAACATCACTAACAACACTCAGAAAAAGGCTTAAGTATTCACTGTTTGTAAATGAATGAAATCCCAGTATATAAGCTACCGTTGGTATATCCTAGGTGCTCCAAAAATGGATAAAGGACTCTCCATGGCGGTAGCAAAGAATACAAATAATTGGGCAGGCAATTACGAGTGTGTGTAGTATTTAGTAGGGAGCTCTTGTGTCCTAGGGGTGAGGAGGGACATGCCATCTCAACCACACGTAGCTCGAATCCACCAGCTGCTCCCTCCGAGGTAGAAAGATGGGCAAGCTCCTCCAGTGCTATTAAACTCCTTGGAAAACCCACTTGGAGGGTCAGACATGAGTTGCTTCTGACTCAAAGGTGCACGAAAGTGGGAAGAAGTACCAGAGATAGAACCAGCTTTGTCAGTGTTGCACCTGTGTGGTGTATGGGTCTCCAGGGTTGGAAGAGCACTGTGCTTAAAGTCCTGCTATCACCATCCTGACATGCCTGATTTTTCAACAAGGGGCCTAGCGTTTTACATTTACAAATGTCCTGCATTCGTGTCTAAATGTCGCCTTCACAATCTACATATTGACCCTAGTCTACCAGGCCCCTGACATGACAAAATACAAAAGACCACCTGGAGTTATTAAGTCCACTGAATGAAAAGCATTTTTTTAAAAAAAACAATACCAGGTTATGATTTACTTATAAGATAGTACACCATTACCCTGCTGAAGAATGAGCAATCATCTCCCAAGCATTTAATGCCTCAGAAAGCCCATTGGAGGGTCAGGTCACTTGATAGCACACAATAAAACATCACCATTTAATAGTATTTCCTAAATTTTTTTTTTAACATTTAAGACTCCTCTGAGAACCAAACAGAAGTTATGGACAATCCTCACAGGAAAATACCTATACATGTAAAATTTTATATTCATTGCCCTGGCATTGTTGTTAGGTGTCATCAAGTGTAACCTGTAGCAACCCTATAAACAACAGGTCTGAACCCTGTTTCTATCCTGTGCCATCCTCATTATCTCTGACATACTCAAGCCCATTGTGGCAGTCACTGTTTCAATGCACCTGGTTAAGGGCCTTCCTCTCTTGCCGACCCTTCACCTTTGCAAGCATGATGTCCCTCTCTGTTGAATAGCCTCTCCTAGCAACATGGTCCAAGTATGTGAGATGAATCTTGATCATCTTTGCCTCCAAGGAACAATCTGGCTATACTTTATCCAAGACAAATTTATTCTTTTAGCAGCCCATGGGATATTCGGTACACCTCTCCATGACCATAGCTCAAAGACATCAATTCTTCTGTCATTAATTTTCCAGCTCTCAGATGCATAGCAAGTGACTGAAAAGCCCATGGCCTGAATCAGGTGCAACTTAATTTTCAAACTGGCATCACTACTTTTCAGAAATTTGAAGAGGTCCCTGACTCCAGACTTTCCCAATGCAGTACATTACCTGACTGCTGGTACCAAGGGTGTTGGCTATGAAATTGTTGACGACTTCAATCTTTTCTCCATCTATCATGATATTGCCTGTTGATCCAGTGATAAGATTTTTTGTTTCCTTGATATTGATATGCAATCCATACTGAAGGGCATATTATTTTAATCTTCTTCAACAAGTGCTTCAGATCCTCACTTTTAGCAAGCAAGGTTATAACATCTGCATAATACAGGTTATTGGTGATTCTTCCTCTGATCCTGATGCCAGATTCCTCTTCATAAAGTCCTGCTTTTCAAGTAATTTGCTAAACATATAGATTGAATAGGTATGGGAAAAGGACAGAACCTTGACACGTTAGGTTTTTAAATTCAGTTGGGCCCGAGGGCTGGTTTTAATTGGTTTTGGTCAAACATTCTTCTAAGTGGTATAGCACTGGTCAGTCCATTTGCTCTACAGTGGTAATCCATGGTTGCTGTGATGCTGAACACTGTGATACTGTTATGTCAAATGTGGATAGTGTTTGGTGGAGCTCCCCAATTAAAACAAGCTTGGAAGCAAGAGTAGCAGCCACTTCTGAAATAGCTTGCCTCCAGAAACCCTATGAACTAGGAGAAACGATGAAAAGTTATACAAAGTGTTCAGATCTTTTTTTTTTTTTTTAAGTGTTCAGATCTTGACTTCCATTGCCCCCGGGCAAATACGTGATGTCACTTCCGGGCGCCTTCCCTGGAGGCTCAAATTGGCGTTTGCGTCTGCGGCAAAGGCTGGAGGCCTTAGACGCCGATTGCGTTAGTGCTTGACGTCAAAGTATTTAAATGAACAAGTGAGCAAAGACTCAGATCTTTAGCAAACCTTCAGTAATCGTAATGGGGGGTACGGGTTTAGTGGCCGGAGAGGTTGTGGTGGATGCACTGCCCTATTTTGATCAAGGTTATGAAGCGCCCGGC